TGGCGCAGCTACACTTATCAAACGCTGTACTCCCCAATACTCTCTTACAATTCCTCAAATTTTAGCCATTGAGGCCTCAGCTATTACATTTACAACAAACAATTCTGTGATCAATCACCGTCGGTTTGAATATTTTACTTAGAAGTTACCGTAGGTGGAGACCTTGACGCATGACACCACGCGTGGAACTGCTATAATTCTAACATTAATTGACATGCAATTTATGACGTGGCCAATGACTGTATTACACATAGCAGCTCCAAAACTCTGAACACGGTATAGTAATAGGTCCACAGGCATTATAGATTTCTTTCTGTTCAGAAATACTATCCAGCCACTAGATATTTCTGTTCTAAATGAGCTGTCTTCTGATTACAATCCGATCAGAATTATCATGGATATCAGTTATTATATTACACCAGACAAAAGAGCCGTTGTTACTGAATGGCCTAAGTTCGCCAAAGCTCTGAATAATTTACTACATTCTGTCACTGAATTCACTACACCCTCAGCTGTACATACGAAGAATGAATTTGGTTAGGAATTTCAGGCAGTCCCTAAACAAAGTACCAACTACCCAGAAATGTGAAAGTAAGTCCATTAAAAATCCAAATCCAAGAAGCAATGCTGAACTAAAAAGCTTAATGAAGAAAACAAATGCAGCAAGGATGCAATTCCAAAGGATCAGACGCCCATCTGATGAAGGTGAAATCCCATCATTCTCTCACCAATATATAGTCCAACACGACTGGACTCATTATTCAAATTCACTCTTCACAGATAATGATTCCATCTTGATAGCTATCTCTAGGTGTAAGAAATGCTACAATAAAATTGCGTCCATTCAGGACACCAATAGGATCCATTACACCGAATCGGAGAAAGCGGAAATTTTAGCATCGCAATCTAGAATCTCAGTTTTTTTTTACTAACAACATTCACGATACAATAACAGTATGCGTATTATTTGACTTTGAATCCAATTACATGCCAAACCCGCTGCAAACGACATTGCTCCAATTCGACCATCGGAAGTATTTGGCTATATTAAAAAGTTCAAACCAAGAAAACTCCTGGATTCGATAGAATTACAATTAAGGTGGTGAAATTGTTTCCATTGAAGCTGATCTTCAAGCTGACAAGTATTTTAAATATAATTCTGAAATGGCAATATTTCCGTCAATTGTGGAAAACTGCTACAATCAAACCTCTCTTAAAGCCAAATACACGAGCTACTGGGCCAGGATCTTACCGTCTGATCAACCTACTTCCCTGCTTAAGTAAACTGATGGACCATTCTGGCAGGACTCAAAAAGTACTTGGACTATAATAATATCTTAATTCCCCACTAGTTTGATTTCGATTGAATCTTTCTACTTCCTACCAGCTTTAAAGAGTAGGTAACATATTTCGGAGGGAACGTAAAGCAAGAAATTCATTGCAGGACTCTTTATCGGCATAGCCAAAGCATTAAATCGTATTTGGATAGACGCACTTACTTACGCATATTTCAGACACGTATTCCACCTACCGAGCAATATGGCATACCACAAGATTCCTTATTAGGCCCTACATTTTTAGCATTTATGTTAACGACATTTTTCCCACATTAAACGCTACACTAGCAATGTATGCTAATGATGTAGCGATTCTTGATCAAAATGCATTTCTTAGTCAAGTCATTCAGTATCTTGAAAATCGCATACCTGCATTGGAGACCTATCTGAGAAAATAGAAGATCTAAGTTAACGTGAATAAGACTGCCGCGATCTTGTTCACACGAAAGAAGACTATTGATAAGGATTTAGAATTTTGTGCAATAACTCTGCCCTGGGCTGAGCAGGTCATTTACCTTGGCGAGATCCTCACAAATTCTTTGACATGGTCCCCATACATTCTATTATCCAGGAGTTTCGAGCACGTAAAGCAACACTCTACCCCTTAGTTGCTTGAAACAGGGTCCTATTTATTGATAACAAATTAACCTAAACAAATTACTCATCTGTACAATCATTTACGTCCATGTTTTGAGATGCATGTCCAGTATCTAGATATACTCGTGCAAAACTAATAGGAAACAATTGCTCACTGTACAGATCTGCGTTCTGTGGCAAATTACAATTTTGCCATGGTATGTTAAAAACAACACCATTCATGAAGAACTAAAAATCATTTAGCTTAGTACGTTTTACTACTATCTGACAAGGAATTTCACCTAAAACTGAGAAATCTCAACAATGCTAAAATAAAGATGTATAATTATGATTATAAAGATATGCTAAAAGTGGCTTATGGCCATTTTAAATACCAATATTATTGTGAAAACCTAATGTATTAATGTATATTATATTTTGATTAATTACTGTACATGTGTTTTTATTTCTTAATTACTTTGTTTCTTTTACATACAACTTCTAACAATTATTTATTTCTTGCACCTAGTATTTCAAACTTTTTTGTTTATGCGTTAGGCTGCTCAACAGTTTTCTGCATTTTCATTTATTTTTGTGACGCATTCCTTCTAATTTTTTAGCGGGGAGAAAAATTTTCTATTTTCTAATAATTTAAGTATTCCTTCAATTATGTCCTGCAACTATTTAGAAACTTTTCAGTTTGTTCAATGTGGGGGTAGGGCAGTGTGCTGAGGCACCCTGGTGCTTAACACCTTTCCCCCCCGTAAGGGGAGCTCAGTAATTAATCAGCTGCGAATCTTGGTGAGCAGCTGTACTACTCCCTGAGAGTGATTCGATAAACTTTGCGATTACTCCTTAGTATTTTTCGTATACTACGGAGAAATCTCTAAATAATTGCATTCTCCTTGAGTTATTCCAGCCATTATTGTGCTGTGCGTACTGTTGCGAAATGCCCAGCTGCGATAAAATAGCCTTCCCGCAGAGCGGGGTTAGAGTTGTCAAAAAGCGGCAAAGAAAAGCAGATTTTCCAGATTTGGCTCGAAATCTCTCATTTTGTGACGTTTGGCGACAAAATTGGCGATATATCATAGACGGAGCGAGAACATTCTAGAACGAATTCTTATCGGTTTTTCCGAGAATGTTCTCGAAGGCAGGAGAGTACCTTGAGTATCTAGAATATGTCGAGTTCAGTAGTAGTGTCTTAAGTTAAGTGTTCAGCTCGAGAGCGATCGACCGAGTCGGGAACTGTACTTCATTCACTGTTATATCCTAATAGACTGAAGGGTGTTTTGCTAATTGTTTCAGCATGTTTGTCATAGTTTTTTGACGACCTTAACAATTTTTTGGATCTGTTCTGTGTAATATTGACGAATACAGTGTTTTGATTCTTCATCAAGTGTTGTCATCAATTACTCCAAATCCACGATTCCGTAGAACGCAACAGTACTATTTATTGTGTCAATTTTACTAATAACTTGTTCATTTTGTCTTGCTTATCTAGATTAATTAAATCAACGTTTCCATAGCTGGCAAAAGAATGTAGGGAGATACCAGGCAGCAGAATTAAGGAAGCAAAGTATAGGGCAGCAAAGTATAGGGTTGGGATAAAATATACGCGGGGCTCGTATATACGTTTCCTCTCTTGGACCCGTAACCAGGAATTAAATTTGGCGATTTAGTGGGTATTACCGAAATTGTGATTGCACCGCATGCGCAGTGGAAGAAATGTTGTCTGATTACGTCACAGTACCCCTCTTATTCACAATGGCGGAAGTATGGTACATCACCACAATGTCTTGTTGCGTGTAAATTCATAATTAATTAAATGAGTCTTTTGTTTAATCAAAAATATTTATTTCAATATTTAAAACGTTAACTCTCTCATGGCTGCCTTTTTTTAAAAAAACAACAATGATATTGCCATATATAGAAAGGAAACTTATGATTTGTTTTCGTCATGTACGTAATGAATCTATAAGAATTGTCTTTCCAAATTGCTGTTTTATCTATAATATTTGTGTTGCTAAAGTAAAGTTGCCGAACACTGGTAGTTTGACACGCATATTCACAAAGCCTATAGACCATTTCTCTACTGGCTGCTCTCATTGGAGGAAACATCTGCATGGCGGTCATATTTGGAATGGCGAGTTATCGCCCTGTAGGCGTGGTAATTAACTCAAAACAAACGTTATTTCATTCGATATTTTTTTAGTTTATGAATGAAAGCTTAGAGGAATTGTGTGGAATATATTTTAAATAACCTACTGATCTTATTAATAGTTTATTTGTATTTGAATTTAAACTTTTAAAAGTACGTAATTGTTTTACAAGAAAAAGGTGTTTACATGGAGATAGCATATGCACTTTTTCATCATTTCTGTTGTGTAAATTTCCATAGCGTATTAATTTATACAAATAAAGGAATATTAAAAAAATGAACCAAAGGAAAACATTCAGTAAACATTTAAGGGCGTCGGATACCTATTTTTTTTTACCTAAATTATGAGTAAGTATAACTAAAATTATATTTTATTCCATTATGCACTATTTCTATTGAAATGCTTTTCGGGATCTTGGATAGTAATCTTGCTACTGGTACCTACTACAAAGAGTACAAACCAGTAAATAAAAATAAGAAAAATTAAAATTAACAAAAATAGAAAAAATAAAGGCTAATTTAATTTTTAACACCCGCACCCGAAGGCGACAAAAATGACAAAGTCATTCAATAAAGTTAAAATAAAAATAAATCCGTGCAAAGCAGAGTTTATGAAAGCTACGAGAGGGGATAGAACCGGCGATCTAGAAGCTTGAGATTTTTCTTGCGCTCGTTACCGCTGAGCTGCGATTTCTCCGATAAATTATGCCCACTTTTTGGTACACGACGCTCAAATACAAATTGTAAAGGCGATGAACCAAAAGTCGCCAGCCAAGCACTAGGTTCTGTAACCCTGCGTTTCCTGTTTAACCAATCGGAGCAAACAGCAGCAGGAACGGTCTGTAGGCTTTGTTAAGGCTCCTATATATAAGGTTTAGAGGAGCCTTAGGCTTTGTGAATAAGCGTTTGACACGAACTTTAGCGCAATTGAAGAAACTAAAACAAACGTTTAAATCTAAACTTAAGTTTTCGCTCTGCGGGCAGAAAGATGGAACGGATACGTAACAACTCCTTGCGAAACACATCTGTTTACCTGATCAGCTTAATATACATGGTGTTGCTATCTTAATAAATTTCATTCTTCAAAAAGTCATTTCATCAAAAAGACGTCAAAATGCATTCTTTTGTAGTTAAACTTTGTACATATGGGATGAATTTTCTTAAAATTTCTCACAGATTTTCTTCAGGTATTGCCTAATGCTATTGTCTTTTAACTTACTGTATTAAAATCTCTTGTTCCTGTCCGACAAGCCGATTGCAGAATAGGTTGACACATTAACTACATGATGACGGAGTTTCTGAAGGAAAAAGAAAAAGAGTTATTTCATAATTAACGAAAATGATTTTATTTTATTTTCAAGCCTTATTTTCTTCTGCTAAATTAAGCAATTTATTTTTTTATTATGCTTTTAAAGGCGTTCTCTACGAAAGTGCTTCCGTTTAACGCGCTAGTTCTAGCTCTGAATGAGCAAACACTTTTATTATGGTCACTGAATTTGTGTTTTTGATTTTTTTAAGGAGCATAACTGTGCTGGAATATACTGCTATACATTTTGATTCATAAAGCATGGGCAAATTTATTACGCGTTTCAAGGTGACACCTCCAGGTTTCAGATTAAACATACAAATACTGCGATGACAGCGTAATAATTTTTATGTGATTATCATTCTTCTGCTATGAAATGCACAAGAATGTATACAAAAATGAAGTTTTAATATGTTGTGAGGTTCATTTGTTGTGTGTAGAGGGGATTTATTTTGAATTGCGAAACGCTTTAAAATCAATTTATTGCTAAATTTTTGTTTTGTGAATAGTTTTTTTTTTTATTATTATTGTACTGCTAAGAATTTAGTCATTCCGATTCGTAAATCTTTAACCAGGATTATGGCTTTGATTTGTTAGCTGTAAATTATTGTTCAGTATATGAATTTTAAGGCACTGGTTTAGAAACCTAATGATTTAAAGAGAGGGTTGATCTTTACATTATGGTAACTTGGCGTTTTTTTGGCGAAAATTTGGCGACCAACTCTCCTACAGCAAACCTCTATTCTTTTTTCCCGCCGCCATTTTGTTTTCACGAAGTAAAGACATGTTTCTTTTCTTTTTATCTACTGAACACTTCTTCCAACAATCTACTAGCCGAATTACACTTATGCTAGAAATTTTATCTAACAAAACTGCTTAATCATGACAAATATTCACTGCAAAATTGGGAAAAAGTGCACAATACCATACTCCTTAACGCGTTTTTCAAAATAACACATACACATAAACCATGTACACGCCGACTTATTTTTACTTAAGAAAACATCCCAGAATTGCACAAAAATGGCATTGCGCACACTCTTCACTATATCCATGTACACTGCTTTTTTCTCATAAATTACAAAAGTTTCACGAAAATACATGACAATTTTCTCAATCTTTAAACCCGGTAAAAAGAACATATATGAAATTACCTGATCGCGAAAAAGTATTTACCCTTTCCAAATATGAACATTTCCACATATAAAATAAATGAAATATCCAAAAACTTTTACCTCTAAATCATCTATTACATTATACATATCACCAACGAATTCATACCGCAACCATTACAAATACTTAGTGTCAGATATTTAAATTATTTCCATGCACGTTTACTTCAACTAAAACGTATACCAAATTCCTACAAACATAAAATTCACAAAATACCTATCATTTAATTAAAATATAATTAAATTCAAAAACACTACTTAAAATATAAATGAGCACATACATTAAATTAATACATACATAAATACCCATTTCGAATTCACTTTAGTTACGGCCATGGGATCCAAAAATTCACGAACACTGTTTCACATAACACAGAATAAAAAGCCAAATACAAAATTTCCAGATTTTTTCCCGATTTCCCCCCTTTTCCGATTAAAGAACTGTAATTCGTCCGTTAATATCACATGACATATCCCATGATCTCTCATTTCCCTCACACAAAATAATGCGTAATCGGAACTGAGTCTGCTCACATTATTACCAAAGTCCCAGGTAGTAACCTTTATCGCCTCCAAAATGTCGCCAAACTACCAGTTACCATATTGTAAAGATCAACCAAAGAGAGTGCAAAAATCATCTATGATAGAAAATTTTTTAATAAATTGATTTTAAATCTGTTAAAAGAATAGGTATATTTTATAGCAGTTCATGCGTATCCAGTGATGAAAGAATATCTTATTGAATATTGGAAGCCAGTTATATAAATGAACTAAAACTGGAAAATAATAGATAATAGTCCCAATTCTGAAATATTTTGGTTGCTTGAGCTTTATGGTTAATTGAATGGCAGATAGGCAAGCTTTTACTATAATATTAAATTAGTGTTTTCCCATTGTCAGTTAAAGCAAATACATAATTAAAGCTTCATTACAAGCACCATATAGCTGAGGATATAAATATGAATGTTCTGAAAAATCATTGTTTATATCTCTGATTATCCAGATTTAGAAAAAAAGGAGGAAGGGGCTCATCATTTAAACCCTTTTTATTTTCCTTCAGATTCTCATACTCAAATGTAAATTTTCTAAGATTTTTTTTTATCTCAGATCATTCTGAAAGGGGTCTAATTGTAGCATCAGAAGATGTAGGTCTAGGATTTAGGGATCTATGTTTTAAGGATTCCAAATGATTCTGTAATTCCTCAAGATTTAGTTTTTCCGTACTGCTGTTGTGACTGATCTCGCTTGTCTGACAGTAACATCATCAGATCAGCTTATAGAATTTATTGTGATTTGGAGCATAGCTTTGTATCTGTTATTGGCATGGGCCTTGGATACCATAGAGGTGACAGTACAACTTTGCCCTGTTCCCACCTAGTATTGATGGAGCTAATGGTCTGCCATAATTCTTCTTTTATCACCAAACACTTAAGTGACTTTCAGCTTTCCACATATTTCAGGTGCCCTCATGCCACAGAGACACTATATACTTACAAAGACCCAAACTCTTGGATTCGAACCTGGCCCAATTAGGGCAAAATTTTTTCCTTATTAGAAGACTCAAAGTAATTATTTTGAGCCTCAAATAAGCATTGTACATGCAGGTGTAGACTTTTTTTATTAGGTTCTTTGGAGATAGCCTTGAATATTTTTCTTTTTTTAATGGTTTTGAATGTATCAATTATGCATGATACATTTCTAACGTTTAAAAATACTACAAACGTAGAACTTTTATCATAGGAATATTTATATAACTTTTTAAAAAATAATAAATGTAAAAAATAAATAAAATCTGAAAGCTTTCAGATTTTATATTATGCCTAAAAGGGTGTTTTTTTAATGTTTTGCGTGTTGTCTTTATTTATTAAATATCATGTTCTTTGCACTTAAACCATAAAATTCAATTCAACAACAGTATCACAAAATATTTAAAAGAGCATATCGTTAGAATTTCCGATACACAGTCTCGCATGCTGGAGATAAAAATGTTTTTTTCCCTTACAGTGTTGACATTGCTTGCTTTGAAATCATTGAGTTTCTTAATTAAAAACTCATAAATGCTTTACAAAATATAAAAAATAGATAATAAAACAAATTCCAAATTTGGGTTTCCATATGCCTATATTCGTGTGTTATTCAAAATTTGATGGCTTTAGGTACCATCGTTTTATCACAATGCGAGAAACATACATACACTTATGCAGATTCTTCATTATTTAATTTCTTTAAATAAAATACAGTACAAAGTCTTTAATCCGGATTCGTCGGGACTTCGGCGATTCAACATTAGGGGTTTTTCCGGATTATAGATCATCAATTTAAATCTGGTAAAATGACATGCAGAAATTATAAAATTAAAAATGTGAAACCGTAATTTATGAAATAAAGAGAAGTTATGATCTAAAGGGTATCAAAATTTACAAAAAAAAAAAAAAAAAAAAAAAAAAAGAAATATTAAACATTTCTTTCAACATGCGCATGTGTAAAGCATACATTACATGTAGTCGAAATTAGAAAATTGCAACCAGAAAACTATTTGATGTGTATTCGTGATATTTATAATGACAAGGAATTTGATTTAAATCATATCAAAGACGGAGTACATTGAAATGAAATACTATATTTAGTAAGGAATTATAAGCCAAAGATAAAAACATCTGCTCTGAAGATGAGGATATTGCTGACAGATCAACTTCTTGTTCATTGCGTGCCACGACGTCCCCCCCCCCAGAGCAGCGTGAAATTGATAAACAGATTTTGGTTCGGAATGGGTAGAGAAACAAAGGATATGCTTTTATCCATTTTTTGCAGCAATTCCCCTTTTTGTTTGATGGACATCAAAAATACTTTCGCTTTGTAGATCCTTTGGCAGCTCCAGAATCGGAAACTCTTTTTGACATAATTGAAAGTTCAAGCTTACTTTTTATAAAATTGCTCTAACAGTCTGCAAAAAATAATAAGCCGGATCCAATTAGAAGATTAAGGAACAACGCAATCTGCAACATTAACTGAAATAGATAATTAGATAATTTTAGCCTAGCGTTATACATTAAAGCATGTGTAAATGCTGCAGAAAGTTTGTAGCTTTGAGGTTCGGATTATGGACATCCGGATTAAAGACTTTGTACTGTACAGGCCTCTAATATTTGATGGCAACAATTTAAAAAGTGAATCGGCGTTTATAGTAAATCAATGCAAAATGCCAAAACAAAATTAATATCCCTTCTGCGCTACTGCCCTTTGGGCTAAAAATAAAATACTAATAAACCGTGTTTTTGTTTTATATTTCTTGTTTGGTTGTACTCAAATGTAAGAGATTTCTGGTATCCTTCTTGTAGAACTTTTAGAAATAATATTATTTCTAGTAATTAGTTCTTATAATTGCATATTTAAAAAAATGTAGTACAGTCAAAAGTCGTTAATTCGGACACCCATAATCCGGAATGATCTATAATCCGGACCTCAAAGCTACAAACTTTCTGCGCATGCGTCGCGTTGGCGCATGCGCGTAAGACCTTTACCGCTGCGAATTTGCGTGTGCGCGTGCGCAAAATACGTTTACGAATGTGCGTTTAATGTATAACGGACGGGATAAGCTAAGCTAAAATTATCTAATTATCTATTTCAGTTAATGTTGCAGATTGCGTTGTTCCTTAATCTTCAAATTGGATCCGGATTATTATTTTTTGCAGACTGTTAGAGCAATTTTATAAAAGTAAGCTTGAACTTTCGATTATGTCAAATAGAATTTCCGATATATATTTACTAATATGTAAAGGATATACAAAGCGAAAGTATCTTTCGGAGTCCATTAAACAAAAAATGGAATTGCTGCAAAAAATGGATAAAGGCATATTCTTGGTTTATCTAAACTTAAACGTTTGTTTATCTAAACTTTGTTTATCTTTAACGCCGCGGCGGCGGCGTGCAATGAATTGGAAGTTGATTTATCAGCACTATCCTTATCTTGAGGGCAGATGTTTTTATTTTATTTGGCTTATAATTGCTTACTCAATGTAGTATTTCATCTCAATGTACTCCGCCTTTGATATGATTTAAATCAAATGCCTCGTCATTATAATTCGCTTCCGATAGCGAAGAAAGTGACAGAGTTTATTGAAAATGAATAAATTTCGATTGACAAATTAGTCGGTATTCTCGACACAGCAATTATAGGACTTGAACAGCGGACCTTTGTAACTGAACAAGAAATTATGTCTGTTTATAGAATTAAAGAGAATGTATTATCACATAAAAAACGAAGCAACTGAAACAAACTTACATTGAAAGAAATGTTTAATAAAGTAAACCAATAAATATTAAGCTTTTCTTTTGTCAATTTTGATACCCTTTAGATCATAATTGTTCTTTATTTCGTAAATTACGGTTTCATATTTTTACTTTTATAATTTCTGCATGCCATTTTACCAAATTTAAACTGATGATCTATAATCCGGAAAAATCGATAATCCGGAATCGTCTAAGTCCCGACGAGTCCGGATTAACGACTTTTGACTGTATTTTGCAACAACTGAATAAATTTGTAAAAGTATTTTGAGTATTTATATATTTTCTTATACATCTAAGGAGCAAAAAATATTGCCAAATAGTGAGATGTATTGTCAATAATACATAAGTGTATGTTGTAACAAACTAAGAAGATCTTCACTTTAATTTGGTGTTACTACAATGCTGAGGAAGCCAGTTTAGTTTTTCCAAAGTTGAATATAAATTAATTGCTGTTTCTGTTTTCCTCTTGTATTTTGAAAAAAAAAAAAAAAAAAAAAAAAAATTAACTTTGCTTTTGCAAAATAGCAAGCAGTAGAGTATTTTCAAAGTATGGTATTAGTTATACTGGTGAATATACCTATTGGAAGATTCTGAGGTTTGGAAAAATGGCACTACAAAAATCGTTGTGCAGCCGCATGACATCACTTAGTTCATATTTAAAAGAATTTATATAGTGCCTACTTTGCAAAAAAGATGACTGTTTAGCTGCTATTTAAATGCCAAATGGAAGTTTCGTCTGCCGAAATGATTAGTATAAATTTCAGTAAATGTGTTTATAAGATTAAACTTATTAACTCCTGCTTATTTACTCTTTTGTATGCTATATCTGTAATATATATCTGTTTATTATTTAATTAAATAAAGAATGATTAATGATTGTGTGAATCAAACCTCCACTTGAATGATGGGCATAAATTTGGCAGGATTTCTGCTAATTTTCATGGTTGACAAGATAATGTGCAAGTATTGTATTTTGTAACTTTTGTAAATGTTTGCAGTATTATTCTTACTATGATCAATAATATATCTGCTTTTAATAAACTAAATGTATTTTTGAAGGAGCTAAAAATTATTTTTCTACTTCGGTAGGTAATATTCAGAATGTGCAGTTTGATGGTCCTCTCTCAGGTATACGTATTTTGGATTTGACACGGTATGTAAAATGTTGTTTGTTTATAGTATGCATCTAAGTGCAAAAATACTTCAATATTAAAGGGGAAAAAATTTATTTTCAAGATATGTGCTTTCAAAGTACTGGGGCATGTGGTATAAATTTTTTTTCATCAGTATTACAATGCAGTTTTTCAGCATAATTCCCATGTAATTGAATATACTTATCTCAACAAAGCACTAATTTTTTAAGCTGTACTCAGGGAAGTTTTTTGGTGTCTCCTTAATGTACCTATCTATGCCATGGTTAAGCTTCAAAACAAATTCCCCATAAATTTTTTTTTAAATCTGAGAACAGAATGTTCCTCAATGATGTTGAACAGTTTCTGAAATTTTTACATCCTCTTACCCCCCCTCCCTCCCGAAAAAAAAAAGATACTGCTCTTTGCATCTTCCATGGTTTCAAAAACAGTGCTACAGAAATATTCTTGTATCAGTCAAACATCTGAATCAGCCTAAATAATGTTGCACAGGATAGCTGCATACACATGTCAAAACACTGTGTAATCTATCAATAACATTGCCCATCAGTGGCATACCTAGAGCTTTTATTGCATGGAATGCTGTCTGATTTTGAGACCATGTTTGCCCTCTTATACAGTCAAAAGTTGTTAATCCTGACTCGTCGGGACATTGCCGATTCCGGATTATAGATCATCAGTTTAAATCTGGTAAGATGGCATGCAGAAACTATAAAATTAAAAATATGAAACCGTAATTTATGAAATAAAGAACAATTATGATCTAAAGAGTATCAAAATTTACAAAAAAAAAAAAAAAAAGCTTAATATTTATTTGTTTACTTTATTAAACATTTCTTTCAATGTAAGTTGTTTAAGTTGCTTCGTTTTATGTGATAATACTTTCTCTTTAATTATATAAACAGACATAATTTCTTGTTCAGTTACAAAGCTCCACTGTTCAAGTCCTGTAATTGCTGTGTCGAGAATACCGACTAATTTGTCAATCGAAATTTTTTTCATTTTCACTAACCTCTCTGTCATTTCCTTCATGCCTTTATCAATTTTTTACACAATTCCACGTTTTGTTTGATGGACATCAAAACATGCTTTCGCTTTGTAGATCTTTTGGCAGCTCCAGAATCAGAACTCTTTTCGACATAATTGAAAGTTCAAGCTTACTTTTATAAAATTGCTCTAACAGTCTGCCAAAAATAATAAGCTGGATCCAATTAGAAGATTAAGGAACAACGCAATCTGCAACATTAACTGAAATAGATAATTAGATAATTTTAGCCTAGCTTATACCGTCCGTTATACATTAAACATGCATGCGTAAATGCATATGCGTGTGTGTAAAGGTCTTATGTGCATGTGTAAACGTTACGCATGCACAGAAAGTTTGTACCTTTGGGGTCCGGATTATGGATGTCCGGATTAAGGGCTTTGTACTGTATCTTCTGAGCTCTACTTAATTTAGCTCTTGTGGGGTTTGTATTACTACTTCATCATATATTCATTACTGTTAGAAATATCATTGATAAATATATTTAAAAATCTGCAATCACAGTGCATTTTTTATCTCTGAGATAACACCATGTTTTCCGCAAAGGACTGATTCACAAGCTTCCTACTTTTCATCTTCCTTTCAGTGTTTTCAAACTTTTTAAATTCCTACCTAAAAAGGAGGACCTATGAAGAAACTTACATGTGAAGATACTTTGTCACACAAGCATGTCATAAATGCAAGTGTTCTCCAAGGTTCAATCCTAGAATCAATACTTTTCAGTATTTTACATCAAGAGCTTGTCTCTGTAATTGGAAGTCATGAAATATGCTGATGACACTATAATTTTAACCAAGCCTATGAATCTGCAGTTGGCAATTCATAAACTTTAACTGCATATGAACATAGCTGCAGATTGTAGTTTCCATTATATTGTTCATCATCTATAACTGCATATTGGTGCAAATTATAGAAAGTTAAATTTAGTATTTTACTACCGTACTGACCTGCCGTACTGTTGTTGTTCTTACCAGCTAATGCTGTGCAGTTCTGTACTGAAAATACAGAAAAATGGTAGAGTCAATTTTGAATATTATGGTTGATAATAATATTCTTCTTCTGAGGGACTGTAATTGTTTAGGAATCCGTAATAGGCAGTCAGCTCAGTTTTAAAAAGCATATAACTTCAACTTTGAATATTGAAGTTAATACTTCATTCATGTTAATATACAGCTTTATTGGTAGAAAATCTAAACTACATCTCAAAGTTGACTGTATGTTGTGTCTGAGTCTAATAAGACCTCCCCTACTGTATGTTGTTCCTACCTGAGCAACAGCTATAAAAACGTATTGCTGGGAATTAGATGTTTTTCAAAATAAAGTTCTATATAACATTCTGAATTCTGCCTTGGTACAAGAGAAACACATAGGTTTGTTCTGATTTAAAAGTGACTAACGTACATGATATCTTAATCGCTATGTGCAACTTCTTAAAAAAGATGAAAAAATCACCCTGCCTGGCAATATAAAAAATTTTTTGATTATAACCCTACAATTGAAAATGTGGTTAGAACACCAAAAACTGTTTATCAAAGTCTGTATGTTAATTACTCATTTCAAGAATGTAGTACTGCTGTTTGCTTTTCCACCAACAGATGGTGGCACATGTTCAATTGATGTTCTGAAATGATACTCCTTGATATTTATTATTTATCAACTTCAGTTTTCAACATTTTTGATGCTCAGTGCACTTAATTTTCCGGTTACAATATGTGGCAACATTTTGAATGCTTGTGGTTAAAATTATTAAATTTAATGCCAGGAGCAGAATGAATTTTAAATTCCAGTCTAATGTACTAGTTTCCATTATATTGTTTGGTTCATCGTTATTTCTTTTTTAGAATCTTTTGTAATTAAAGTAGAATATTTTTACTGGTGTTTTAATTCATCTGGATCTTGTTAGTAAATAATATACTGCTATTTGAAAATTTATATGTTTGCAGCATTTTAGCAGGACCTTTCTGCACTATGATCTTGGGTGACTTAGGAGCTGAAGTTATTAAAGTAGAAAATCCAGGTACTGTAATTTTTTATTCAAAGAGAATTTGGAAAATATATCATAATATTTACCAACTGTTAAGGGTTAAAATTATTTATAGTTATAGGTCAGACAAGTGAGCATTAGTAACAACAACAAATATTTCTAGTAATATATTTTAGTTATTATGTTAAGATGGTAGTTAATATAAAGAAGACATTATCATGATATATTCAGAAGAAATTAATTGATATTTATACAATAAACTATTTCTCTCTGCTGTAGAATAAATTTGTGAGGGAAAAATCTGACAGAAGTCTTTTGTCAAACCTTGAGATTTATTATAATTTAACGAATTTTTTAAAAAATTATTCTTTTTTATTGTTAACAAGCTTTAAGCAGGTATTGTAATATTCTTTTAAATAATTACTATAAAAATTCTAAAATTAAATGATACACTGCTGGCCATCCAAAATGCAACACCATAAAGAAAAAGGGTACTAGTCTGTTAGAGCGGGGTCTGTTAAAAATGAAGAAAAAATTAGAAAACAATGCTACAACAAATATTGTGGCTCGAGAATTAGCGTTTGAAATATCGTGGCTCGAGATTTCTAGTTCTCGTTTGAAATATCATCACTCGTTATTTTTTGCCATATTTTGCCATTGTTTTGAGTATGGTGGATTACACAAGTTGGCAATTACCTAATGACCAAAGGGATGCCTTAAGATTCTTCCAGGACAAAGGAATAACTCATAGCAATATAATTTGTTCTCAAAATCATCTGATGAAGTTAAATTTTAGACTCAAGCAAAGCTCCTATATGTTGTTGTTATGTACTATCTTGCTATGAAAAAAAAAAAGGGGGTGATTGAAAACTAAACATGGTTTGAAGACTTGCGTCTTCCTTTTCACAGTGCCATTCATTTTATCTGCCTGTGATATCCAGAATCGACATTGACTGAATTTTGCTAACTTCAATTAGAAATTAGCCATAATACGACAATAGATTGGAATAGCTACTTTAAAGTTTTCTTACAAAAAGAAAAAACTGATGTGTACACCACATGACTTCCTTGTATGGAATATTAAATTATTTGCGTTATTTCTTTCATTTTGTTTAAACTTATTGGATTGAATTAAATCTACTTTGTCGATAGCGCATAAACCACAATACAATAAATCCACTCTTTAAAATTCACTATACAGTCAAAAGTCGTTAATCCGGACTCGTTGGGACTTCGGCGATTCCGGATTATTGATTTTTCCGGATTATAGATCATCAGTTTAAATCTGGTACGATGGCATCCAGAAATTATAAAATTAAAAATATGAAACCATAATTTATGAAATAAAGAACAATTATGATCTAAAGGGTATCAAAATTTACAAAAAAAAAAGCTTAATATTTATTTGTTTACTTTATTAAACATTTCTTTCAATGTAAGTTACTTAAGTTGCTTCGTTTTTTATGTGATAATACATTCTCTTTAATTCTATAAACAGACATAATTTCTTGTTCAGTTACAAAGTTCCGCTGTTCAAGTCCTATAATTGCTGTGTCGAGAATACCGACTAATTTGTCAGTCGAAATTTTTTCGTTTTCAATAACCTCTGTCACTTTCTTCGCTATCGGAAGCGAATTATAATGACGAGGAATTTGATTTAAATCTTATCAATGATGGAGTACATCGAGATGAAATACTACATTTAGTAAGGAATTATAAGCCAAATAAAATAAAAACATCTGCCCTGAAGATAAGGATAGTGCTGACAGATCAACTTTCAATTCATTGCGCGCCGCCGTGCTAAAGATAAACAAGCGTTAAAGTTTAGATAAACAAAGGATATGCCTTTATCCATTTTTTGCAGCATTTCCACTTTTTGTTTAATATGTAGACTTCGAAACAAACTTTCGCTTTGTAGATCCTTTACATATTAGTAAATATATATCAGAAATTCTATTTGACATAATCGAAAGTTCAAGCTTACTTTTATAAAATTGCTCTAACAATCTGCAAAAAATAATAAACCGAATCCAATTCGAAGATTAAGGAACAACGCAATCTGCAACATTAACTGAATTAGATAATTTTAGCTTAGCTTATACCGTCTGTTATACATGAAACGCGCATTCGTAAACGTATTTTGCGCACGCGCACATGCATATTCGCAGCGGTAAAGGTCTTACGCGCATGTGTCAAAGTGACGCATGCGCAGAAAGTTTGTAGCTTTGAGGTCCGGATTATAGATCATTCCGGATTATGGGTGTCCGAATTAATGACTTTTGACTGTATTTGTTAATCATAGTGACATTGTGGTGCTAGGTTCACTTAACAGCATTATATTTCGTTCATATTATAACTCAGAATGCACAAAATTGATATCATTTGAAGAATTACCTAATCATTGCCACATGTTCTATTCAAATGCTATAATAAATCTAGAATTATGTATAAAAGAAATTAAGCAAACAAAACAAAAAAGAAACAGTTTTTCACAGATGATTTAGTATTTCTCATTCAATTAATTCAATTCTCACTTTGCGACAAGACAAAAATACATAAAAACTCAAAATATCTATATTAAAAATTACGAAGTAAATCTCAAACACTTATTTCCTCAAAAAAAATTCAGACAGGATTAAGCATGATTTAATTCGCAATAATAAATGAAGGCATTATCTTTGTTGTTGCGAAGCTTAGTCTCTCTAGATTGGCAACAAATCTACTATTCCGCTGTTTCAAATGTAAACAAATATGTCTGCCATGTTATTTAAAAATTAGGCTTAATCACACTTAAACAGCTTTTAAATTGTTGATAATTCTACAAATATTGCTTGCAGATTTCCTAAAGGCAAACCTTAACCGGAAGATAAGAACAACATAATTCAATCATTTTTAAAGCAAAAATTGCACAATTTACTAACATGTAAGAGTAAAGAAACTGAGATCATTGAGCCATGTAACAGAGAGGATGTATATGTAAATATATTTATATACGTTCGGTGCGGCCGATTGCAATCAAAATACGAGGTGCACATCTACATGTTATAGCAGTTCTATATACAAAATTACGAAGTAAATCTCAAACACTTATTTCCTCAAAAAAAATTCAGACATGATTAAGCATGATTTAATTCGCAATAATAAATGAAGGCATTATCTTTGTTGTTGCGAAGCTTAGTCTCTCTAGATTGGCAACAAATCTACTATTCCGCTGTTTCAAATGTAAACAAATATGTCTGCCATGTTATTTAAAAATTAGGCTTAATCACACTTAAACAGCTTTTAAATTGTTGATAATTCTACAAATATTGCTTGCAGATTTCCTAAAGGCAAACCTTAACCGGAAGATAAGAACAACATAATTCAATCATTTTTAAAGCAAAAATTGCACAATTTACTAACATGTAAGAGTAAAGAAACTGAGATCATTGAGCCATGTAACAGGGAGGATGTATATGTAAATATATTTATATATGTTTGGTGCGGCCGATTGCAATCAAAATACGAGGTGCACATCTACATGTTATAGCAGTTCTATATACAAAATTTCAACGTTTTGAGACTACTCATTTTTGAGTTTTGCGAGATACACACGTATGTACGTACGTACAGACACCAGGAAAAATTCTCTTCAGAATTCATTTTAAATCAGTTTAAAATTTCTTTGGAGGAAAAGAGTCTTATTCTGTTCTTATGTACAGTTGTCATGCAAAAACATTGTAAAAAAGAGGCATTAAGAAATGCTGTATATGAACATTTCACTGTGAACCATGAAAATGCCGATGCAGCCGGCCTGTTTGCTAGGACTTGAATCCCAGACTGGACTACCAGTGTTCAGTGGCTTTTAACACTTGGCTGCTATGTAGAAATGTAGTTGTGAAAGAAGTCTGTATTCCGTTAAATGAAAATTGTTTATTTTAATAATCAGGGCTAATCCTAGTTGCAGGGGAGATGGTTTTTATCATAAGGGCAGGCAAATTTAAGAGCAGAAAATGATTATCCAGTATATGATATTTCTATAAGAAAGGGTGGTCAATTTTAATTTGCACATGAGTGGCTGATGGTCTAGGATCGATTTTCAATTCTGATAATTGACAGATTAGTTTTCATTCACTGATCAATTTTCAGTTCTGATAATTGATTTATTATTATACCTGAAAATTAAGTAGTCTGTATTTATATAGAGAAGTTTTATTTTCATTGTTGAATTATTAAAATAGATATCTCTCTACATATATGTAAACTAAAAAAAAAAAAATAAATAAAAAACAGTGGCATAACAGCCCTAGTGGGCCAAGGCCTGCAGTGCCCATAATCTGCTTTCTTGACCGTGGGCCTTGGGGTGCGTAAGCATATGCTCTAAACAAGTGGTCAGCTTGTCACAGGACCCCAAGTGTTTAGTTCCCAAGTGAACTTGGTACTCATTTTATCGACCCAAATGATGGAAATCAAGGGATGAAAGCCTGAGTTGACCTTGCCCAGCCTGGGAATCGAAACTGAACCTGTGGTGCTGCTGCGAGATGCGCTAACCACTGCACCACCGGGCCTGCTACGTATATATACAAATGCAAAGATTACTTTAGGCAGTCGGAACTAAAAACCCAAAAACAAAATAACTCTTAAATTTATATAAAAATTCAATATTGGAAAATGAGCACTTGAAGAATAATTTAAAGAAATTAAAACCTTTTTATTAATTAATGAATTTTTCTATTATCAATTTTAATATAGATGGTGGTGATGAAACAAGAAATTGGGGCCCACCTTTTCTGAATGGAGAAAGTGCCTACTTCATGTCAGTTAACAGGAACAAAAAGGTTTATTTTTGTAAAAAATATGATCATCATTTCTTTTATTTATTTCTTTTTATTTATTTTTTACTCCTTTGAACTGAAATTATAGTCCTTTGTTTGGTTTTTTTATTTGGTTAGATATTAAGATTACCTTTTAATGACCTTTAACATTAATAATTGTTGAAGTCAAACGACAACTGTCTCTAAGTAATAGTGCACTGAATACCACCAGATAACACTATGAGCGAGTTTGATCCAAATAAGAAAAGTAAAAAGAGTTCGACAAGAAATAAAACCACCTGAGAGTGTTGTTGAATGCACAATGAAATCAAATAATGTGAATGTAGTAGGCTGCAATAGAAGATGAACAGAAAACTTTATCAGACAGTGAGACATCTGACAGATGTACCTGACAGAAGAACCAGAAGGAAGAAAGCCACTGCATGTAAATGGGTATGTAGTGCTTATCTTATGCCAAGATTCTTTCCAAAAAGGAGGATATTGATTACTTTGAAATATTTAGGCCCTGTTGCTTGCTTTGAAACCATTACTTATATAGTAAGTATTTCTGCAAATGAAAGAATAAACTTTGACGGTATACTTGAGGGTACAATTTGATGTTGAATCTACATTTTTGTATGGATTGTAAACTTAGGAAACTTATATGCTTCAAGCAGAAGGCTATGACGGCAATTCCGATCGAGTTTGTTGACTGATCAAAAGTTTCAGTGAACTAAAGCAATCATTAATGTGTTGGAATAATGGATTCGAAGAATTTCTAGAATGGTATGGTCTGAAGGAAAGCAAGGTTAACTCATGCTTATGATAAACAGCTGAGATTGTTATTAGCAGTATATATGTCTTCTTGCTATTATTCGAGAAATTAGAAAAAAAAGGGAGGGGGGTAATTTTTATTGAAATTGCAGTAGGAATTCAAAGCAATATATACAAAGAAGCAGAATACTTTCTTAGCTTAGAAATAAAAAAGGCTGAAAAATGATAATACCTTCATCACTCAGCAAAATTATGCTAACAAGCTATTGCAGAAATTTCATGTGAATGATGCCAGCCACACATGTACACTTATGAAAATGGCCACTTTATGAAAGATGCTGTAATGATAATTTCAGAAAACACATCTTACAGGTAAGCTGTAGGTAGCATAATGTGTATAATATTTGCTACCCAACACAATATTGGTTTTCTATGTTTCTTTGCTCATAATTTTTAAATAAGGTTGACCTGAAGCATTTGCGAGTGTTTAAATATTTATTTAAAAGAAACAACTAATTTTGAATTTTATTCAAATATAGATTTCAGTCTAGGAATCTGGAAGCATATTCTGATGCAGATTATGCAAGTAATCCAACAACCAGAATGTCAGTGTCTGAAGCTATGTTTAAATAGGGTAGAGGAGCAATAAGTTGCACAAGTCACCAATTGCAATTTGCATTTTATTTAGTACCACTGAGGCTGAGTATGTTACAGCTAGTAAGGCTGCTAAAGAAATCATCTGCTGAAATGGTTATTTGATGACATTAAGTGTTCCCTTAAATAATATTTCCACATTGAAAGTTGACAATGCCAGTGCTGTCCATTTAAGAATCCAGAATTTCAGAAGCAAACAAAGCATATTGATATTAGGCATCAGTTTATCTATGAAAAGTTCTTAAATGGTGATCTTAATATTGTGTTCATTGTTAGTGAAAAACAACTGTCAGTCATCCTCACAAAGCCTCTACCCAAGAAATGTTTCAAGAGCTAAGAACATTTCTGGGTAGTTATAGATTACAGAATTAGAAGTTAGAGGGGAAGTGGTAAAAATATGAACTTCAGTTTTATCATTTCAAGCTTCTTTCCCCTGGAATTGACTACGGTCAAAAGTCGTTAATTCGGACACCCATAATCCGGACCTCAAAGCTAAAAACTTTCTGCGCATAGGCGTTTACGCGTGCGCGTAAGACCTTTACGGCTGCGAATATACATGTGCGCATGCGCATAATACGTTTACGCATGCGCGTTTAACGTATAACGTACGATATAAGCTAAAATTATCTAATTATCTATTTCAGTTAATGTTGCAGATTGCGTTGTTCCTTAATCTTCGAATTGGATCCGGCTTATTATTTTTTTCAGACTGTTAGAGCAATTTTATAAAAGTAAGCTTGAACTTTCGATTATGTCAAATAGAATTTCCGATGCTGGAGCTCCCAAAGGATCTACAAAGCGAAAGTATGTTTCGATGTCCATCAAACAAAAAGTGGAATTGCTGCAAAAAAATGGATAAAGGCATATCCTTTGTTTCTCTAACCATTCCGAAATCTGTTTATCCATTTCACGCTGCTCTGCGGCGGTGTGGGGGGGGATGCCGCAGTACGCAATGAATTGGAAGTTGATTTGTCAGCACTATCCTTGTCTTCAGGGCAGATGTTTTTATTTTATTCGGCTTATAATTCCTTACTAAATGTAGTATTTCATCTCGATGTACTTGGTCTTTGATATGATTTAAATCAAGTTCCTCGTCATCATAATTCGCTTCCGATAGTGAAGAAAGTGACTCAGAGGTTATTGAAAACGAAAAATTTCGATTGACAAATTAGTCGGTATTATCGACACAGCAATTATAGGACTTGAACAGGGGAACTTAACTAAACAAGAAATTGTGTCTGTTTAATAGAATTAAAGAGAAAGTATTATCACATGAAATGAAGCAAATTAAACAACTTACATTGAAAGAAATGTTTAATAAAGTAAACAAATAAATATTTAGCTTTTTCTTTTTGTAAATTTTGATACCCTTTAGATCATAATTGCTCTTTATTTCATAAATTACGGTTTTTTTTTTTTAATTTTATAATTTCTGCATGCCATCTTACCAGATTTAAACTGATGATCGATTATCCGGAAAAATCGATAATCCGGAATCGCTTAATTTCCGATAAGTCCGGATCAATGACTTTTGACTGTATATATTTTTTTTATGTAAATTCCAAGTTTTTTTGTTTGTAGCTATAGTTCAGTTGTTATTATAATATGAATATGTATGCATGCACTGCTTGTGATTTAATCATATTTTGTTATGTTTTGTAGTTTAAATTAATTTTTTTTACTTGAAGTACTTAATTTGTTATCTAGTTAATATACACTATCAGATTTTTCAAGAATTATATAAAAATGATTTTACTCTTTATAGGTTATGATGTTTGATGGTTATTAAATCATTTGCTTTTACCCTTCCTTTCATAAAGTCATTTTAAATATGTACATTCAATTTTATTTATGCATTTTTCCCCGTAAGTAAACATTTGTAATAAAATTTTTTTTTTGGCACTCTAAAAAATAATTGACAAATCTATGCAGGCTATGATTTTCAATTGTCTTTTTTTTTGTGTGTGATTAAAATGTAATTATTTTTAGGTTGTTTATTATTATAGGAGGTGAATTTATTGAAATATTCAGTAACATTAAAGTATCAATAATCTTAGCTTGTATTGGGTCATCGGGAAGAATTTGCAGTGTTTTGATGATAAATTAGCAACGCAAAACAGAAATCTCACTGAATCACCAGCAGCATTTTATTATGTGACTTTTTGCTATATTTTCAGCAGCTGAAAAACTGCTATTAAAAAAAAAAAAAAAAAAAAAAAAAAAAAAAAATCATTAGTTCATTAGGTATTTGTAAATAAGGTGCTGTGTGACTGTTCAAAGAAGTGAGCTCAAGGAATTTTGAAATGACCTGAAGAGATGAAAATTTGAGGGGGCAAGATCTATTGAATATGTGGAGTGGTACGAAAAATCCTACCACACTCAGTAAGTCTTTGTCTGATATTCAACTAAAATGTGAGACTGAGCGTTGTCATGATAGAAGACAAGGCCTTGACATTTGGTCGGTTGCGAGTGCTTTGCTTGAATTTCTGCTTTAAAAATGCCATTTGAGAAGACTATTTTCCTGAATTTATTGTCTGATTTTGTAGCAACAAATCATAATACAGTACAAAGTCCGTAATCCAGACGTCCATTATCCGGAATGATCTGTAATCCGTACCTCCAAGCCACAAACTTTTTTTTTGTACGCTTTACGCATGTGTGTAATGTGTTTACGCTTGCATGTTTAATGTATAACGGATGGTATAAGCTAGGCTAAAATTATCTTTACTGATACTAAGGCATTTTAGTTAATGTTGCAGATTGCGCTGTTCCTTAATCTTCTAATTAGATCTGGCTTATTATTTTTTGCAGACTGTTAGAGCAATTTTATAAAAATTAAGCTTGAACTTCTGATTACGTCAAAAAGAGTTTCCAATTCTGGAGCTGCCAAAGGATCTACAAAGCAAAAGCATGTTTCAATGTCTATCAAACAAAAAGTGGAATTGCTGCAAAAAATGGATAAAGGCATATGCATCTCAAAATTATGCGAGGAGTATTACATTGGAAAGTCAACTGTGTATGACATAAGCAAAAAGAAAAAGAAACTTTTTGAATTTTTTGTAGATTCCGTCACTCTACTTGCAATGAATAACAGAAAAAGTGTTTGTTATGCTAAATGTGACGATCATGACAAAGTGATGATTGAATGGGTCAGACAGCGTCGCGGCGAGGGCGTGCCATTGACGGGTCTGATGCTAATGGCTCAAGCCAAAGTATTTCATGAAGAAATGAACTTAAACACTGAGTGCACATATTCAACAGGTTGGTTAACCAAATTAAAAAATCACCTAGTTATAACAACTTAAACAACTTACATTGAAAGAAATGTGTAATAAAGTAAGCAAATAAATATTAAGCTTTTTTTTGTAAATTTTGATACCCTTTAGATCATAATTGCTCTTTATTTCATAAATTAGGTTTCGTATTTTTAATTGGATAATTTCTGCATTGCATCTTACCAGATTTAAATTGATGATCTATAATCCGGAATCGTCGAAGTCCCGATGAGTCTGGATTATGGACTTTGTACTGTATACTGTTTATTTGTAGTCCACCGTACCACATTGCTTTTTTAGGATGCAGTCCCTTCTCAATGTTGCTAAATGAGATTAATTTGGCTTACTGCATGATTCCTTGTTACATTGGTATAGAGTATCCATTTCTTATCTTCAATAATGAGCCTTTAAAAAAAAGGACCTTCTTTATGTCATTTCAGCAAATAATCACATGCCAAAATTCATGTAAGCAACTCTGATCTGTTAAAATATGGGATACCCCATACAGTATAGTGGCTTAAATTCCCAGTCTTCTTCAGTTGATCATCTACTAGAACATTCAGTTTGTTTGATCGTTCCTGAATTGTGTAACATGTCTTTTCAGGGATAGCATCTTTTAATAGATCCTTTTGTTTGCAGAGGAGGGTTGTCCATAGCAAGGTCACTGTCCTAGTTCTGACATGAGCAGGGTTGACCGTGAAAAATATTTCATTAATAAATAATTCATAATTTTCCTGTAAATATAAATAACATCGATCAGACAACAGATGTTATAAAATATATTGGGTGTACAAATAAGCTTTGAGCATTTTTTTGGTAACTTTGAAGCTTTATTCAGAGAAATTGGAAGAATGTATTTTATTCAAAGTATTGTCCATTGTTAGCTATGACTTTTCCTCATCTTTCAGGTAGCATACAGATTTTGCGTTTAAAAAATTCCTCATCTTTTGAGGAGATCCAAGAGACCCAATTTTTGGCTTCTTTGTATGAAGTGTTGCTCAGCCAGGTCATGACTCATCGACCGGAACAAGCGAAATTCAAAAGGAGCAGTGTCTGGTGAATACAGTAGGTGGAGTAGGAGATTCCATTGAAGCACCTCCAAAGTTCCCTTAACAATTTTTGCAGGAGGTGGGTGAGCAGGTGTCATGCTGAAAGATCACTTTGTCATGTCTTTTGGCTTAGTGGGGGCATTTGAGCTTCAATGCTTGGCTCATTTGCATCAATTGTTGTTTGTAACATTTTCCAGTGAGGGTTTCATAAGGCTGGAGTAGTTCATAATAGATCACTCCGAGCTGACCCTACCAGATGCACAGCATTAGCTTCTTGCCATGAGTATTCAGTTTGCCCGTTGAAGTTGGTGCATGGTTGGGCTTATCCCATGATTTTTTGCACTTTAGGTTGTCGTCGTGATCCATGTTTCATCACCTGTCACAGTTTGATGCAAAACCCGTTTCGATTTTCCCTTTGAAGGAGTTGTCCGCACGTGAAAAAACGGCGTTCGGCGTCTCTTGGCTTCATACGGAACCCAATTTCTTTGTTTTTGTACCATACCCATGGCTTTGATATGCTTTGAAATTGCTTATTGAGTCACTCCCAAGGTTTTGGTGAGCTCCTTTTGAGTTTGGCATGAATCTTGATCTAATAACCCAACTCAGCATTTTCAAACTTTACTGGTCAGATGTTTTTATTGAAGGACCATGTTCTCCATATGCTTCACACAGCAATCAATGTCCATCAGCTGCACTTTACTTCAAATTAAAACAAAAGAACAAAAAAAAAAAAAAAAAAAAAAAAAAAAAAAAAAAAAAAATGCTTCCTGTAAATTTTGTTTTGTTGGTGCAAAGGTTGATACAGGTTGAGCACAAAGAAAGTTTGTGTTTTACATTTCAGTGAAATGAAATAGACTGCTTTTTAGACAGAAATATCTGGCACTTTAACATGAATATAGTTACAAGATTGTCCAATAGGATTTAATACTAGTAACGCCATCTTATGTCAATCCCTCAAACTTATTTGTATGCCCAATAGCACTAGGATAAAAAGAACTATGCAATTTTAGAATAATTATGTATTTCCATTACTTCATTTCTTGGTATCAATATATAGGGAATTACTATATTTCCCTAGGCATACTGTTTTGGTATCAGTGGTTTTTTTTTTCATCCAGCCAGAAGGTTTTATGGTTCAAATCCTGGCAAGGGCAAAGCTGATTTCTTGCCCACCAGTGGCCAAGTCTCTGAACACTGGTAGTTTGATCTGGGGTTCATATTACAGTGAATGCTGCATGGGTGTTTTCATAGTTTTCCGCGTGCATAACATGTATATGAACTAGTTTCTCTTAGAAAGTTCACCACAAAGGCATCTCACCTCTTAGGCATATAGCCCTCAAGTGCTTTGCCATAATCAAATAAACCAAACCTAGCTGATTTCTCACATTTCTTGCTGAAAGAACTTAATAGTCTTAGTAGAACTTAATAGAACTTAGTAGTGTCTAAACCACTCTAAAGACGGTAATCCATCATCATTTAGATTTGGTTGACTGAGTGTAGAACCTCATCCCATTCACCCTTTAAGTGAGGGAGAATTTAAGAAATTATCACATTCTCCCGTGCACAGCTTTCATATGTAAGTGGTTGATTAACTTGTCCAGAAAACTATGAAAGATTTGTTGTTCGAATCCTGGCAAGGTGGCAGATGATTTCTCACATTTTTGGCTCTAAGAAAAATCTAATGTCTTTAGAAATAAAATGAACAACAATGTATGAAAATTATATATTTTGGTGTATTATTTCAGTGAAATAGTATGCCTTTACTTATATTATGATATTTTTATTAAATTAAATTTTTAATGCTAATTTATTTAACAAATATACTTATAGTGATTACCTTAATAAATGTTTAAATTAATAACTTTTTCAGCAACTAAGAAGATTGGTTACATTTCAAATTCATTTACGTAATTTTTTTTTAAAATGCATATAAATTATGAAATTATAAATTGCGTATCGTTTTACAGTGAATTTTTTGTTTTCTCAAGTCATTGCTTTGTTGATGTTATATGCCATTGTGCATTTGTTAGATATTGTGTATCATAATTAACACATACAAATATCTATTTTTAAAAAATATTTTAAAATCTGAAGTTGAAATTTTTAGAAAAATCTCTCTAGTTGTATATGTAAAAGTAATTAATTTTGAAGATATATATGAAGATTATAATTAAAGATATATATGCATTAATTTGTTTCAGAGTATTGCTATAAACATGAAAACACCTCAGGGCAGAGATTTGATAAAAAAGGTAATTTCTGAAGCCATGTTATTTAATCAAAAGTAATTCATGTAAGAGAATAGAGTTATTTTTAGCTGATTCTTGAAATAAATTATTAAAAATAAATTAATAACAATTTTTAAAAAATGAAGATATATTTATTTTTAGCAGTAAAATGATGTAATACTTAGTATTAAAATTACTTTTGTCATGATTGTTGATGAAATTTTAAACAAAAACAGGTAAATAATTTTTTCTTTAGAATGTAAATAAAATAGGAAATAGTTGAAATGTAATAGTATAAAATTCACATTTCATGTGAAATATTTAAAATAAATTTTCTGAAATTGTAGAAAACTGAATATTTTACAATTGGACAGCTATAATACTCATGTGTTGTAAGGTCTAAACTACTTTTTTTATTTAAGTACATAAAAACTAATTTAGAGAAAACCTTATCCAGTCGATATGAAAAACTAGCTGCGAAACGACTGAATTTGTTCATTAAAAGCCTATGTAATTTCTATTCTAGTTATTAAGTCATTAGAAATATTTAAACTGATTTTAAATTTTCCTTATAGGGAAACTGATTTCATATTTGCATAGAACAAATATGTATTTATTTAAAAATAGAGGTTTGATAGGAATGGGGGGGTTTAAGCTAAGCTTAAATATAAAGTGAAGGTTTGATATGGTAATATCTTTTCAGTAGATGTTTAAACAATTAGTCAGTCTGAAAGAAGGCAGAAAGATACCTTCAAGAATATTCTCATGTTTTCGAATAAATACAAGAAATATGTCTGAGACAACCATTTAGAAGACTAAATATGTAAAATGAAAAATATATCTAAATGATAATGCTATGATGAAACTCATTCTCATAGGCAAGATGATTATATTGCATATGATAATATATGCATCTATTTTAAATTACATGTTTATTATAGGCTATAAATTGAATGTAAAGGGAAGGTATGAATATTGTGATGCATTAGAACATAAACTATCGAACTAGTTATATTTGATATGATTTTAAGATCAATTATCTTTTAACTTACAATGGTTAGCATTTGAATATTTTCTTTCTAGTCATCAGAATTCTCTTTTTCTTTCTAGTCATCAGAATTCTCTTTCATGAAAATACAAATTGATGTAAATTTAAAACTATTAATAAATCTGTACAATGATGCATTATAATTGCACTTGCAGTTGGCAATGGAAAGTGATGTTCTAGTAGAAAATTTTGTACCTGGCAAATTATCTTCCTTTAAGTTAGATTTTGAAAGCTTGCATCCTGTTGCACCTCATTTAGTATATTGTTCCATTACTGGTTAGTAAATTCATTTCTTTTGGTGATAGTTTGCTTATTATATTTTGTGTTCTAAATTTATGTTTTATTCACTATGCAAAATCAGATATATAATTCAGTTTATATTTTCTTTATTAAAAGAAAGTTATATTTTCCCATTATTTATGTTTTAAAAAGCAAAGCATTCTTTCTGTCTGTGTATGTGTCCCCTTTTAAAACTTAAACATATTCTTGAAAGAAAAATATAAATGTCTATCGTAATTTTAGTTAATTTTTTTATTAGAAAAAAATAAGTATTTATTCTATTCATTAATAACTTATTTATTTTGTGTGCAAATTTGAGAAATTTTACAGATTGAAATTTGAGTAAGGAAGTAAATGCTTTTCAAGAAGTTAGATTATTAATGCTAGATTTAACTCAGTCAGAGAGAAACTGTTTCAAAAAGTATATTTTAATATGAATTTTGGTGTATGATCACATTTTTATTTTACATATTAAGCAAAGAGAAATTATATTTTCTCTTGAATCATGTTGATTTTTTAAAAAGGTAAAGAAAGGAAAATTTAATGTATAGTTGAATTTTGCAGTTTATTAGACTAGTGTGCATTACTTTTTCCAGTATCCTTTTTGCATTTGCTTGAACATTTTGATATAATTTTTCTGCGTTGGATATTTTTTGTAATTTAAATAGAGTGTTATGTTTTTGTTTAGAATAGGTTATGGAGCTTCTGGGCCTTACCATGACCGTGCTGGATATGATGTCATAGCTGCATCTGTTGGTGGTTTACTGAATATTACAGGTCCAGAAAATGGAGAACCTTGTAAAGTTGGGGTTGCTGTGACAGACCTGGCTACAGGTTTATATGCTCATGGGGCTATTATAGCTGCTTTATTACAAAGACTGAAGACAGGGAAAGGGCAAAAGATCGATTGTAACCTTTTATCAACACAAGTATATAAATTATTTAGTTTTATTAAGTTCATTCTTGTAATCATCTATTAAAAGTTTTTTTTTTTTTTACAAAACTTTTTTATTCCTTTCTCAATTTACATTTTGTGATAGTAATGAGTTTTTGAATTAAAAGGGTATTCTTTTGAAATTTAGGTATTTATGCATTACCTTTGCCACTGCCGATTTGGTTACCCCTTTGAAGTGTGAAAGTTGATTGCGGCAGTTCTGGCAGAATTGTGAACCTCATTCCTATCAGCACCTCTTACAATAAAACATTTATCAGTCTTTCCACACAGTCCACCAAATAAATAGACACTACATTAAATAGCCACTGCTGTCGAAGAATTCAATCTGCTTTTTGTGCCTTGTAAAAAGACTTTCTTGATTTCTGCTATTTTACCAGGCCTCCCAATTTTATCAGATGCTTTGTTTAGAATGCTATGAGTGCAAACTTTTTGCAGGTGATTGTTCCAACCTGTTACTGTTTTGGGGTCCCTATCCAGTTACAGGTTGATTCAAAACTTTGGTAAAAAAAAAAAAAAAAAAGTAAATAAATAAATTAAAAAAAAATAATCAGAAATACAAATTCAAATCATTTGAACTTCCATTTGATATATTTTTTTTCTATCTCCATGCTAATATAAAATTATTTTTAGTTTGCTTTGCGGTTTCGCAGATACTTTCACAGAACATGCAAATGTGCATCACAATCTAAATACATAAATTTTAAGCACAGTTAGAAGTGTGCGGAACACCAGCATTTCACCATTGAACATACAGGTATAGTCCCACCTCAGTTTCGAGGGAGAAATCTTTGGGGATTGGTCTGAGAATCTTTCACTGCTCTTTCCCTACCACCAAACTCTCGAGAGGACTTAGTCCTACCATATATTTTGAATGCTGCTTTTCTGCACTCTCAGTTCAGAGCTCTCTGATTTCGAGAAAGGTATAATTATCGGGTATCACAAATGGGGCCGATCTTTAAGGGACATATCTAGCGATCTGAAGTACCCAAAATCCACAGTGGCCTATGTGATTAAGAAGTGGAAGGTGAGCGGTGATTGTTGGAATGTGCCCTGAGTCGGCAGACCAACGAAACTGGGAGATAGAGACCAACGAGTGCTGTCCAGAGAAATTTGGAAGAACCGCATCCAACCGATGGCCCTCATCCGCGAGGAGTTTCAACAGGCATCCGGGAGTATTGTTTCAATGAATACCATCCGTAAGAAAGCACATCTGCTTGGTTTTCATGGTCGTGCTGCTGCCCATAAGCCTTTGATCACAAAGTCCAACCGCGCTGCTTGGTTAATGTGGTGCAAAGCACATTGAAATTGGACCGTAGATCAGTGGAAACAGGTTCTTTGGAGTGACGAATCAAAGTTCACCCTTTACTGTTCAGATGGCAGGGTCTGGGTCTGGCGTCTACCTGGAGAACGTCTCCTGCCAGAATGCATTGTGCCAACAGTCAAGTTCGGCGGAGGTGGAATTATGGTCTGGGGGTGTTTCTCCTGGTATGGGTTGGGACCCTTGGTCCCCATTCATGGTAAGCTCAACTCCGATGCCTACTGCACTATTTTGGATGACAATGTGCTTTCTACGTTGTGGCAGTTTTACGGGTTGGACCCTGTTACTTTCAGGACGACAATGCCAGTTGTCATGTTTCGACGTTAACCAAGGCTTGGTATGGTGCCAATGGAGTTCATCGAATGGACTGGCCTGCCAGAGTCCAGACCTGAACCCTATCGAGAACCTCTGGGACGAGTTGCATCGCCGAATTCAGGGGTGCACTACCCGTGCAAAATCGGTGAAGGAACTTCTATGTCTTCTCCAAGACGAGTGGAAAAATACCTCTAGCTGTCATACAAAGACTTGTGGAAAGTATGCCCTGGAGGGTCCATGCTGTAATTACCTCTTGTGGAGGCTCTACCAACTATTGATTTTGAATAAAGTTAGTTTTTCTTTTCTATCACAGGTGTCCAAATACTTATTGGTAGTCAGTGTATATCAACATGCCATGATCGACAGTATAATAGTCGTATAATCAACATTATATATCGACATTGATTATTATCGAGTATAATCGACAGTATAAATGTACCCCAAACTGAAGCCATGTAACATTTTTGACTGAATTTTTTTAGTTTCTTTTCTTTCAGGTGTCATTACTAGCTAATATTGGATCAAATTACCTCATTGCGGGACAGGAGGCAAAGCGCTGGGGAACTAGTCATGAAAGTATTGTTCCATATCAAACATTTCAAACTAAGAATGGTTTTATTACAGTTGGAGCTGGTAGTAACAAACAGTTCAAGGTATTATGTGAAGTAAGTAATGAATGAATGTAATTAATTTTTAACAAATTATGTGCAAGTTTTAAATACTGTCTAAAAAGAGTACTTATGTAATATTAATTATAATTATTAATTATTTTTTCAAAATAACCTGTGGAAGAAATATATCATATGTACCCACATATTTCTTCTCTTTATGTATTTTTCCTGCATAAGATTTATAATTTTACTATCCGGTTTATGGTAAAAATTAGTAAGTTCTTGGAAAAACATAATATAATAATATTAGTGTGTCTTTATGTGTGCTTTGTAATGTGTTATGTTTATCATTTCAGCCATCTATTTAGCATGCACACTGCTATATAATAATAATAAAATATTATACAGCATGTACACTGTGGAAAAAAAAAAAAGAAGGGACAGTTCTATATCTCCCGTTCTACTGGGGCAATTGACGAAATTCAAATTGCACTTTCCATGTCTTGAAAGCGTGACTTAGGATATATACAGTATGAAGTCCGAAATCCGAATGTCCATTATCCGGAATGATCTAAAATCCGGACCTCAAAACCACCAACATTTTTCTCGTAGGCTTTATGCATGTGCATTTAATTCCCCCCCTTCCTGCGCGTAATAAAACATCTGGAGAGTCCACTTTGACACTAAATAAAATACTGTGTTATTGAAATTGAAAGAAACAATAATTGAAGAAACAATAGCATAAATTTGTACAATCAGTAATTTGGCTCTGTTGCTGTGTATTTGCTTGGCACACATCTCAAACCAAAACATTCCACATAAATGCATCGTTGATCTGACACCAACCTGGCAAATCATTATTTATCATACTTTCCTTTCATCACCGCATGTTTATGAAAACATGACAAGTTGAATAATGACTGATTTAGCGATGCCTAAACAATTTTTTTATGTTAGTAATTTAATAATAAAGGAGTATGGTAACCTTTTATGTTGACATTTCACTTGGGGATGATTACAGATTTAAGTTAAATGCGCTAAAAAATGTTGACGAGGAGAAGTTTACTAAAAATTTCCTTCCATATGCCAAAAATAGATTCTGTTGATGATTCTGATAGACTAAAAAATTACATTTAAGGCTGTTTGAATTAAGAATAACTGATTTGTTATTCATATAAACTCAGAATCAGCACCAAGGCTCATATGGCCCCTCCAAGTGGCAGTATTTAGGACCCACAGAGCCTGTTTCAGGCAGTAAGATATCTAGCGCCGGCCCTCAATAAGGCTTAAGTATATGTGGGAATTTATTTATTCAGAACTCTGATAAGCCTTAAGCATGTGCAAGAAATAGACATAAGTATAATAAATAACTAATACAATTCAAGCTTAATTGTCTCAGTGCGCGATAGTAATGGAACAACTTCTAATTAGTCGCCAAGCTCATGATGCATAGCCAAATATGTATAGTGAAGGATAGCTAAATTTGATAATGATAGCCGCTAATTTTAAAGGTTTTCGGATGTCACAAAACAAAGGTGAAATTTTCCAATTAACGTATTTTGTAAAGAAATGTGGAGAAGTGGTAATAAATAAAGATGGTATAAAAGAAGTTTTTCATTGTGATGACAATGCTTCTCAATCATCAATCAATTAACGAATGGCGAAATCTGTAGTATGGTTCTAGATCCAGAAAATACCACTACTGGTAGTGAAGAAAGTGACAGAGATGTTACTGGAAACTGCCAAAGAAAATTTTGATTGATAAGTTAGTCAGAATTCTCAAAACAGCAGTTACACTACTTGAACAGTGTAACTGAACAAGAGATTATGTCTGTCTCAGAATTAAAGGAAAAGTATTAGCACAAAAAAAGAAGCAACTTAAACAACTTACATTGAAAGAAATGTTTAATTCATAACTACTTCATTATTTCATAAATCGCAATTTCATATTTTTAATTTTGTAATTTCTACATGCCATCTAATTAGATTTAAACTGATGATATAATATCCGGAAAAATCCCAAATCCAGAATCACCGAAGTCCCAATGAGTCCGGATTTCGGACTTTGTACTGTATATATGTAAAATCAGTTCTGTATGAATTCAATCTATTACATACCTATACACATGCAATAATGTGTGTACACATACATTGCTGCATGCACATGAGTTCATTATGGATTAAATGCTTACGGAACTGATGAAAGCTGGACAAAATTTATTTTCTCAAAGGAAACATTTTACAGTTCTAGAACTTTCCACAAAAGCTTTTCGGTTCTTCTTTCACATACAGCTCTTCTCAGTATGAGAAAGCACAGTCAGTAGTTATCACTTTAAACTACTAAGAATGCTAAACAGAACACAATCCAAAGCACATGTAAAGAGCAAAGTTCGGAGAGATCTAACTGTGAACTAAAAACAGAGATACTCTCTCCAGGCTTATATAGGTTTCCCTCGGCCGCAGATAAATTTCTAGTACCTACCATTTCTTGAAATTGCTGGAAGGCACATATGGTTTAAGTTACACATAAGGGCTGGATACAGTTACAGTTACATGCAGGGATCAGTAGCATTTATTTAATTGCAGTACCAATTGCAGATATACAGGGACTGGATCAAAATGTTACAAAATGATAGCTTAGTTTGGTAATTTTTCACCAAATCTGGTGGCAAAAATTAGTCACCAAAAACCATGCCAGCTTGGCTGTATCTTGTGTATTTTTAGCAAGATAGCTGTTTACCTCAATGTTAAATAGACTGGCCCCTATAACCTGGTTTTTCTGGCAGAGATTTGCATTTTCAAGCATTTCATGTTACATTACAGAAAAGATACTGTAGTTTTTCATATAATTTGACTGAAATTATGTACACTACAGAGTTTATAAACAATAATATTATATATATATATATTTGAATTTAACAAATATTCTCTCATTCATATAAAACTAGTTTAAATTTAAATTTTAAATATGAAAATTTAATTGTATACAAATAAAGGATTAATTATCCCTGTGAACTAATTTGAAATATCATTTAAATTCAGAAGCATGTGCAAATTAAGTGCAAGTATCTAAAACCATGAAAAAACATTTAATAAACCAAAAAATTAATACTAAAAATTTAAAGAATTTTTAAGACTAAATTAATTTGCATAAAGTGAATAATTGTTGAGCAGGCAGGAGACAGTTCATTTCAAGGGGAAGTTGCCTCCAAACCTAACGCTTCAATTACTCAATTCATGCTTCATCATCCATATAGGCATGGGTTAAAGTATTATTCAAAACCAAAAGTAAAAACCAAATGTAGTGAATTGCCTAAACAAGAAGACGAAACACAAATTGAGTAATTGAAGAGTTAGGGTTAGAGGCAACTTCTCTTGAAAAGATCTGTCTCCTTCCTGCTCAACAATTATTCACTTTATGCAAATTAATTTAGTCTTAAAAATGTCTTTAAATTCTTAGGATTAATTTTTTTAGATTATTAAATATTTGTTCATGGTTTTAGATACTTGCACTTAATTTACATATGCTCTCTGAATTTAAATGATATTGCACATTAGTTCGCAGCAATAATTAATCTTTTATTTGTGTACAATTAAATTTTTATATTTAAAATTTATGTTAGCTTTATATGAATGACAGAATATTTGTTAAATTCAAATTTCTTTCCTTGCAGCAGTGGTGCAAGAGAATTATTTAAATTTAACTTTAAACTACTAAGAACTCGGGTGTGTGTGCAAAAGAATTGACGGTTTATTCATAATGTGGGTGAGTTTATAAAACAGAAGAACTGGAAAAAGCAGGTTATTGACATTTTACTGTGAACCATAAATTTCATTTTGTTGTTCCAGCAACTGCTGTTCATGCACAGAATGGTGAATGACAGTGCCACTTAACTAAATGGTGGAATAAAAGTAATCAAGAATAGTTTATTATCCTTATGAATCTCACTCTGCAGAGGGTGAAAGTCTTTGGGGGGGAAGAGAATTTTCTGATGTCATATTAAAATTTCTGATGTCATGTATTGTTTTTATATATATGTGTGTGTGTATAGTATTACAAATTTTATTTAAAAACAAAATTATCTCAAGTTATTTCCCCACAAACTGTAAAAGTTCTGCAATGCGGAAAATTAATCAGTATAGACAAAAAGTGAAATGTGGAACCAATTCCACAAAAACTCAAAAGAGGTTAAATTCAATGTCAGTAAATTCCCTGTAAATGTATAAAATTAACCAGAAGTCAGAAGAATTAAAGAAGTGTGAAATACTAAAACAAAAAAAAAAAAAAAAAAAAAAAAAAAAAAAAAAAAAAAAAATCTCAAAAAATAAATACATAGGAAGAGGAATGAAATCGAATCTAATATAATGTTATCAAGAAGAGGTACATCAGACTCAATTGAAATCCCTCCTCCTTTGAAAATTACTGCCTTTCTTTTCTGTCTAGAATATAGTAGGCCCTTTATTAATAAAAATAAAGTAAGAAAAATTTAACATTTACAGTAATAAAAGTACTATAAAACTTTCTAAAACACCTTTCTTTATCCTTCTCTATTTGAGCTCTCAGATATTCTAAGTTGCCACGATAAGCCTATAATGTGAAGATTTTATACTTTTCGAACCTTTGTTTCTTTTCTTCTTTTTCTTTAGCACATTCCTTTTATAAAAAATTTTAAAAATTCTTACAAACATTTAATTCGCCCTTTAAGAAATTTCTAGTGTGCCATCATCAAATAGTTTCACCAATAAACCAAACTGATGCCTCTAAGCATCCTTTTTGAATCTAAGGCTTCTGCTCTTTGTTTCGAAATTTGTAGTTTTATTACAATGTTCTCTGTTATTTTCTAGTATATTTTGAATTTCTACATTTTAGTTTTAATTTTTTATTTCAATTTTAATTTTAATCTTACATTCTGTGGAAAAAATTGTATTTTCTTTTTCTCATTTTAATGTTAACAATATTAACAATGATTAGGTGGTGGGAAAGCAAATTTATTAAAATACAACTATGTACTGGAACAATTTTATGAGAGTCTAAATCTAATTTCACAAGTAACTAAGTGAGTGGGTGATTTTGAGAAAATTGTAGACAAAATCTCTCTCTATTGAGAAAAAAGCAAATCCAGCAGGGTTCTTCCACAATATTGATATTCGGTGGTTAATACTGAGAAACCGGTGAATCCTTCTCTCCCAGGTTCCAATTAAAGAGGTAAACCCTATTTGTTGCAAAAATTGTCAAGTGTGTTTTCAAAAGAATCGACGATTTATTCATAATGTGTGTGAGTTTATAAAACAGAAGAACTGGAAAAAGCAGGTTATTGACATTTTACTGTGAACCATAAATTTCATTTTGTTGTTCCAACAACTGCTGTTCATGCACAGAATGGTGAATGACAGTGCCACTTAACTAAATGGTGGAATAAAAGTAATCAAGAATAGTTTATTATCCTTATGAATCTCACTCTGCAGAGTTTTCATCAGGTGAAAGTCTTTGGGGGGGGGAAGAGAATTTTCTGATGTCATATTAAAAGCAATTGTAGAAACATGGCTGCCACAAATTGCATGTGAGAGGCAAACATGAATTTGTCAATAATGCTGGTGCCAACTTGGCATTTAAAAAACAAAGTTATAATAATAAGGATATACCTATATATGTATCAACAAAAGCAAGGATATGTTTGTTAAACTATTGTTGTGATAAATTTATGAATGGAATGGTACACCATGAAGTTTAAAATATTTTCCCTTATTTTTTCAGCGTCTGAATGTCAAACATTTTGCAGATGATCCTCTGTTTCAAACAAATAAAGACAGAGTGAAGAATAGAAAGCTTCTGATATCAAAGCTGACAGAAATGTAAGAGTTTTAAATAAGTTGATGAAATCCTGCAGATATTCACAATTATAACAGCTTACTAATGTTTACCTATGTATTTCTTTGTATATAGCTATTAATGTATTTATGATTACAAGAAAGACAATGAATTAAGAATTTAGGTACTATTTGGTTTCGAGGTCTGTAAAAAAATTGCAGCAAAAATGTACGCGCAAAAGCACCAAATCTAGCAAATGCACCAATTTAACAGCGCACCAAATCTAGCGTACGCGCTGTGCGTACATTTATATAGTTCTATATTGCTTAAGACACCATTGAAATACTAGTTTAATTTTTAAATCCTTTTTTGATATCCTATAAATTTAAAAATTTGGGAATTGCCCATGACGAAAACTCGGCAATAGAATTTTGGGTAAAGTGCAGAATCACCCACTGCTTGACGCGTTTTTAAGAATTGCACATACTCGGTATCCATGTGCACATGGACCTATTTTCACTTAAAAAAAAAATCCTAGAATTGCACAAAAAATGGCACTGCGCACACCCTTTATTTATGTACACATCGACCCATTTTCACTTAAAGAGTAAAAGAAAATTGACAAAAATTCAATTGTTTTTACCCTTGTAAAAAGCGACAAACAAATAAGTGAGCGATTCTGCACTTTACCGAGAATATTTTCAAAGAAAAGGCATCATTCGTTATAGAAAATTACTTTCTGAACAACCAACGAGGTGAAATTATTATGCTTAAGCGATAACTCAGTAGCGAAATAGCGATGTATTCATCCCTTCAGTTGCGTTTAGCAATTTTTATATAAATTATACAATAGTGATCTGAAATAGTTATTTACTCTTATGCTTCCATTCAGTCATGGTTTCGCCTTTTTTATATAAATTGTAGTAATAAAAAAGTATTATACGAAATTAACCTTTCATATAAATTAAAATATCAATCTTAGATAGTTATTTACTATTATACTTCCTTTCTTGCCGCAATTATTAGGGTTGTCGCAGCATTGGCATCTTTCGGTAGCATTGGCATCAACAATAGTTTGGCGATTTTTTACGGCCCTCGAAACTGAATAGTACCAGAATTTATATATGTATGAAGTAGTAAAGGATTTTTTATTAAAAATTATCACATACATGAAATTGTAACAGGTTTAAAAAATATGACATAAGTGTTTCTGAAAAATTTTGTTCATAATTATTTAAAATTATAGATATACAATCTGACTTTCCATGCTTAGAAACAAAAAGAAAAATATATGAAAAGTGGTGAGATCATTATGATGTTTTCTGTAAGATGATAAATGTGCTGTTTTATTTACAAATATGTTCAATAAGAATTCTGTTTTATTTATAAATCAGTTAAAATATTAAATATAAGTGTATTAATTAATGTTTAGTATTAATATCTATTATTTTTTCTACATATTTATCTAGTTTTTTAAGCAATTCTACACAATATTGGCTGAAGAGTTTTGAAGGAAGTGGAATCCCATATGGACCAGTAAACAATATGGAAGGTGTTTTCAATGATCCACAAGTATATATAATCCTATGATAATACAAATGTATAGTTTTAATTATACAGTAGAAGTCCTGAAATCTGCAAAGCCTGGGAACCAGAGTTTGTGTGGATTTTAGGATTTTGCTAATTTCAGGACAGAAAAGATAAATCATAATATTCAGACTAAAAGTGCAAAATAAATAAGGCATATTAGATACATTTAATTAAATTATTATACACATTATTGCATTAAATTATTATTACATATGTAAATTGATTATATTATTCATTGTATTATCTCCTAATATAAATTTAGTAGAAGTATCGAAAAAGAGTGAAACCATGTAGGAAATTTAATTCCGAAATATGGGTTCACTTTTTTTTGATACTTCTACTAAATTTATATTAGGAGATAATATAATCAATATTTCTTTAGTAAATAAATTATTATTATCTTACTTGCAGCTATTGCACAAGTATTAGAAAAACTTGTTTTCGAACTGAGTGAATTTAAGATTCATTGTATTATATGTACACAGCATCGAGGTTTGTCGATTTCGCCTCGTGCAAAGATTTCCGTTTTCGGATATCTGGTTCCGGTTCCGGTGTAAAAATCACTGTTGCTGTAAAATTTCAAGAGCTTTTCTTTATTTTTCCGTGTATCATACACAATCATGTCACAATTCCATACGTTTCTGCTATAAACCGAGGAGTAACACCTGCCTCCATCTTTTGCAGAATTTGCACTTTTTGCATTACCGTCAATGCAACGTATTTACGTTATTCAACGTTGCAAGCAGCAAAATCATGAGTGCGTTTCTTATCTGTCATTGTATTAAAAAGGGCTGAAATTTAAAATATTCTTAATTTATCCACGAAATATCTGGATAAAAATAATGGCAGCACTAAATAATCTCGTGAAGTAACAAAGCTCAGAAAATATAGCTTGAATCGTGAACTTGAAAGAAGAATTGAGTGAATCATCTGCTTTTTTACCTTGATGTAGATTAGAAGGGAAAAAAATTTATCATGATGTCAGTAATTTGGTATTTCCGTTACGACTCCTTATTATTTGATAATTATGTCATCATTATTTGGTAAGTACTTTTTCTTCGATATTTCGTACTCAATGTTGTGGTTTCCGAAACCTATAAACTGAATGTTTATAATTTGAGAGGCAACGCGGATTCAGGAGTTGGTGGATTTTGGGTTGGTGGATTTTCGGTATTTGACTGTACTACTTAAAAACTATTAATTACAGCTGTATTAAAATATGTAATTTATATCTTCAGCTAAAGAAATCTTCAAAATTCTTGAACTTTACAGTGACACAAAAGAGAGCATATTTTCTGCTTAAAATGCATAAGATATAGGAAGTAGAATTTGAAGAATGTTTTGAGATAATTTTACAAAAAAAATCTTCCTATAAGAAAAATTATGACTAAAATTATGTTGAATTTTTTAGCTGAATAAGATTGAAAATTAGCTGCAATCATTGTATTTGGTGGTTGAATTAAGATAGATTTTATTGCCTTTATTATTTCACTATAACAAACACTCATCTTTATGCTTGAAACCAACTTTTATTATAATAAATATGATAATAATAATAATAATAATAAAACTTAATTTGTGTGGAGTTTTTATAATGCTAAATATCAAATCCTAAGCCCAGTTTGATTCATTAATGTAAAGAAGTATAGAATGGAAATTATCATATTGTTATAAGAAATTCAAATACAGTATTTTGCCATGAAAACATAGGTGAAAACTCATTAAGTGACTGTTATAAATTAAACTGATAATACCTTTTACTTAGACAACTTTCAAAATGTAATGTGTTAACATCAGGACTAGGTAAAGGAAAATGAAATGCTGTATGCAAAAAATAAATGATCTGATACAGGTACTAGAATTTAGGCCCATATAATATTGATAGTATGTAAGAGCTCAAAAGCATTTGTCTGGTCAGTTGCTCAAAAGCAAACTCAAAGCAGGAATAGCTGAATGCTTTGATCAGTCAGCCATCTCCACTGGGAACGTTGTAATAGTGCATATGTGAGAAGTGGGAAAAGAGGAACATACTAGAAAGTCTTATGCTATAGTCAAAATTAAAGCCTTGGCTAGCAGATTAGCAAAATGCATTTGCTAACCACTGTACTGTCCAGAGCAGAATTTGTCCTCTGCTGCATAAACACAAGTTAGTTTTTAAAATTTAAAAAAAAAAAAAAAAAAAAAAAAAAAAAAAAAAAAAAAAAAACTATTCTGCACTGCATTTACTGTTTCTTCTATCTACAAAAGGGTAAGGATAGAAATTAAGGAATCATATCAACTTATAATTAGATGTTGTATTTGGTCCTTAAAACAATGAGCCTACCAGAGACTAGGTGGACTGTTGAATAGTGGTAATGTAATTATAGTTCAGTTCATAATAGCTGGAAAGGTGCCCTTAAAGAATCAGGAGAATTTCATGAATTCTCATAGCTGCAAGGAATGCTTAGTGAGCTAGGTAACTATTTCCCATTGATTGATGAATCTGTGGTTCCCATACATGGTATTTGTTTATGTATAACATGTATTTATGCAAACCAACTTTTCTTAGAAAGTCTTCCATTAGAATTTGCCATTGCTAAACAATAAGTAGATCAATGTAGAAAAGTCGAAATATTTATTGTGAAATTTCCTTCTATTCTTTGAAATAATGAATGCATTTATTCATGCAAACATATACTTACTGTCCGTTCACTGAGAATATAGATTGAAGGTAAGTAAAAGCTCATGGGATTTTGCAGTGTCAATGGCATGATGGTGCAGAAAACATCAAAGTAGACATTTGATTATCATTTTGTTTGAAATTTGAATTTATTTAAAATTATATCATTTTACAAATATGTAATATTAAAATTATATATCATTTTACAGATGTTTAATATATTGAATTATAAAATTTTAAACAAAAATATCATTATTTAATATTTACTGTTTTAAATTATCATGCATGCAATTTTATGAATGGTAATGTTTAAAATAAATAACATTATAAATCCTATGTGTTTTATTGATTTAATAAAGTTTTAGCATTTATTCATGTGTCATAAATATTTTATTTTGTAAAAGCAACTGTAGGCAAAATAATAATTTTATGCAAAGTTACCAATTTAGGGTAAAAATGATAAAAGTAGGATTACTTGGTGAAAATAAGTCATGTGTTTTGTTTACTTTTCTTAATGAATGGACTAAAAATAGGTATTTGTATTTTAAAATCATTTTATTAAACACTGTAATATATTTGTTTAATTTATTTAGTTACTACAGATTTTGACTAAAAATTATGAAAATTTTATGAAATTACTTTTGATCAATTTATAATTTGCATTCATTGAACTAAAGCCTACCTATCATGTATTTAGAAATGCAGAAGTTTAAAGTTTATTATGTGAGACAAAATAAAAGAAAAATGGATGTGTGCAAAATGTCTTACAAAATGTTGTGCAAAATTTGTACAACACTTGTTGATAAGTGATGGAAACCATTAGATGAAGCCATTTTGTATTAGATATTTTCCAGCTATATAATATTTTAAATGATGCAAATATTCATGCTTTTGCATTTTAACATTTAGAATGTTCAGTTTATAAAACTACAAAGTCCTACTTTTTATACATTCATCCCAGTTCCTGTACTTATATTTGGAAAAATTGTATGCTCATCATAATATAATATAATAATAATAATAATAATAATAATAATAATAATAAAGTGTGGCTCTTGTTCGACAAAAATTGATAAATATATTAAACTGGAGATTATATTTAAAGTACATAACACAAATGATGGAGTGCATTTAATTGCAGTGTAATTTTGATTGAATTAAAAATACAATGTCAATTTAGAAAATATTTTGTTATGTTAATGTATTAAATGATGAGTATTTCTATGCAGATTTTTTTTGTGAAAAGTATTGATCAGTATAAATTATTAAAACAAAGACATAGTATTCTAGAAAATACTGCCAGGCTTCACTATTGGCATACAACCAGTGCATAGCATTATTTGCATAAATTTAAATATTTAAATTAAAAATATTTAATTTAATGAATTTTTTGTGTGATTATCATGCTATGATTTTAAAGTAACACATTTTTAACATCTGAAAACTTCTAACTTCTTCTAAATAACTTGTGTGAAAATTTCTTTCAATGTATCAGTTATTACAAAATAATAAATTAAAGAATGTGACACATTAGTAAATCACAAAATAATATCACTAAATGGCATTTTTTGGGGGGGGGGATCTTTAATCTCGAATTATTCTAATTTGTTTATTAACTGACTTCTCAAGGTGAGTTGAAAATGTTGTTAAATACTCACACACTTAATTCTGTTTTTACATGAAATCAAAATAAGTATTTTCATTCTTCATTTTTTTTTACACGTGTTATTTAGATTTATTAGACATGGGCCAGCTAATTTCTAAGAATTTTAATTGCCTAAATTCGAAGAAAAGCAACTTGGGGTATAGTAGTGCACGCATGCACAAATATATTGCATATCAGCTAATGTAGAAAAATGAAGTGCTTCCCAATGGCAAGTAGTAAGTCACATGACTAAATGTATCATTTTTTAAATTTCAAGATTGTATGTATTTACAACAGACATTGAAGTTTCATTTCTTTGGAAGACATTTAGTATCTAGCTCTATTTCAAAGTAAAATTTGTGAACATATAAATTGAGTTATTTTGCCAGAGTCAATAAATGATAAAAATGCAAATTTTTCATAAATTTTTTTTATTAATAACAACAGATATTTTTCAGTAGCCCCTGTACAGTCTCTTGCCCAAAATAATTTTTTTTTTTTAAAGAAGCACCATGAAGAAAGTGATTATTTTTATTGAAATTAAACATGTGTAAGGCTTATATGCAGGTAATGAAATGATTAAAAATTCAAAGCCATACATATGACCCATTGGTGATTAACAGTTGCACATGAAATGTTTAAATCAGTAATTGGTGGAATAACTCCCCGGCAGTGATG